ACTCTGCTTTTTGCTTTGATGATGTCTCTCCCTGCTTTGTTCAACATTGGGCTGCTGCTCTTCCTGGTCATGTTCATCTATGCCATATTTGGCATGTCCAACTTTGCCTATGTCAAGAGGGAGGTTGGGATTGATGACATGTTCAACTTTGAAACGTTTGGCAACAGCATGATCTGCCTGTTCCAGATCACCACGTCCGCTGGCTGGGACGGTTTGCTCGCCCCAATTCTCAACAGTGGGGAGCCGGACTGTGACCCCAACAAGGCTCATCCAGGGAGCTCTGTGAAAGGTGACTGTGGCAACCCTTCTGTTGGGATTTTCTTCTTTGTCAGCTACATTATCATATCCTTTCTGGTAGTGGTGAACATGTACATTGCTGTGATTTTGGAGAACTTCGGTGTTGCTACTGAAGAAAGCGCTGAACCCTTGAGCGAGGATGACTTTGAGATGTTCTATGAAGTCTGGGAGAAGTTTGATCCTGATGCAACGCAATTCATGGAATTTGAGAAATTGTCTGATTTTGCAGCAGCACTTGAGCCTCCTCTTCATCTACCCAAACCTAACAAAGTCCAGCTCATTGCAATGGATCTGCCCATGGTGAGCGGTGACAGAATTCACTGCCTTGACATCTTGTTTGCTTTCACAAAGCGTGTTTTGGGGGAAAGTGGGGAGATGGACGCCCTCAGAATACAGATGGAAGATCGGTTTATGGCATCCAATCCTTCTAAAGCTTCCTATGAACCAATTACGACTACATTGAAAAGAAAACAGGAAGAAGTGTCTGCTGTCATCATCCAGCGTGCTTACAGACGTCACCTCTTAAAACGAACAGTAAAACAAGCTTCCTTTATCTACAACAAAAATAAAACTGAAGGTGGGGGGGCTGGTCAGGGTATGAAAGATGAAATCCTTATTGACAAATTACATGAAAACTCATTTACAGAGAAAACAGACATAACCGCATCAACAGCAGTTTGTCCGCCTTCTTATGATCGTGTAGTAAGGCCAGTCAAAGAAAAGCATGAAAAGGAAGATAAAGATGGTCAGAAATAAGAGCAAATAGTGAGAAAAATCATATATGTGCAAAGTAGTTCATAGCCTGTAAGGATCTTGTGTTTGTGTCAACAGGACTCCTGAAGGAGGTCTATGCCAAACTGACAATTTTTACAAATATACTGTACATTAAAGGTCAGTGCCTATTAAAAGACAGTGACCCCTTGTCAGTGACTGTGACTGTGATAAGAAGAAACAACCTTGACAGGAGGTTACTGTTCTCACTACCAGCTGACACTGCTGAAGAGGAGAGAAAAATGGCTACACAGACTGTAGGGACCAGTTAAAGGGGTGTGAAACCAAGTATTTGTGTGTTTAGCATAAAACAATATGGTAACTCTATCCACTGTTTGCATTTCAACTGCCACATACTTCATATTTTTACAAAATCTGTGTTGGTGGATTCATCTTGTTTTTATTCATATGTTGTTTATTATATGTGACTATTTTTGTAAATGGGGCTTCTGTTGGGGAAGGGAATTAAGTACACCTTTACAGGTACAAGGGCCAGGTGTTCTATTATACAACTAATATACACACAGAAATTATTTGCATGAAGGCATGCTGCACTTATAGATCATGCATGAAAATAACATTAAGTCACAAAGAACAACAGATTTTTTTAGCACAGTGTTTCTGGAAAGGAATAACAGACTTTGAGGTGCTTAATTAATGTATTCATGTTGTTTCATGTTCAAACAAGTCTTAGTATGCCTGTAAAGTCCTCTACAACTCACAAAAGTAGTAAATATGGTTTACTTTTTGCACAGACCATTAAGTTTCAGAAGGTGCAAACTTCTTCCTAGGTCTGGAGTCACAGATTTTGTCTTTGTCAAATGTCTTTCTGCATACGAATACTAAATGAATCTGCCTCAGCCCACCAAATTGATCAAAAAGAGCCCTCTATAAAGTTGTTCTGCTTTATCCTGCAGTATTGTTTAGCCATCTTCAGCTCTCAGTAAGGTTGATGTTGTACACGTTAATGAAAAGCCCTCTGCTATGTAAATAATTTTTAACCTGTGGTGCATGTTTGAGCAAACAGATAATGACTTTAGCACATTTATTGCATCAAATATGTACCACAATAAGTGTAGTGTGCAAGCATTCAACAGGTAAAATAATGTATTATCTACCATTATAGATAGTTTGGATGCAATCAGTGCATGTTTATATTGCCTATGCTGCTATTCCTTTGACTGTCCAGGATTCTGAAACATGGGAAGCCATACATCAGAGCTAAATGAAATAAGCTACTCAAAAAGACCTCATTCCTCCATACCATTGAGCAATATTTTGCAGCTGTTTAGGAGCTTATTTGTTTTACATTTCTGAATTTTCAGTGAAAGGCATATAGTGTATATCCAAACTGTACAGATGTTGAAAACTACTAAACCTGTTGAAAATAATGTTAGGATTTTATAAGCAAATATAAATACTGTAAAAATCATTTTATTTTATTTTTCAGCATTATGTACATAAAACAAGAACTGAATTTTATCTTCAGGTTAATGTCACAACATTTTTGTTACTTTCAATCCATAGCACTTTTTCACAGAAGAACTCCAGAGAACAAGACATAACTAAGTGAATGAATAATTGTAGGATCTTACTTTTTACAGTATTTGCCAACATATAAATAATTTCTGCGAAATAAGTTCATAATTTGCTTCTAAAAAGCTAAGTTGTTTTTTTATTTTTGCAGATGGGAAAATGGTCTAAACTTCAAATTGAATGTCTAAGCAGTGCCTGCATCATAAGTTTTCAGATACAACCTTTCTTTCAGAGAATCCTGAATCTTTTCTCATGTTTACTCACAGATTTTTTTTTTCATTCATGCTGCACTAGAACAGTTCTAAATATTATCTAGGGTCCACAATATTTTTTCACAAAGAGAAAGTAGCAAAATTGTATAATCCAATCCATCAGGACATTTTATGTTTCTTACACAGGAAAATTAAATATAGATTACTTTTATTAAATTATTGGCTAAATCTGTATTAGTGAACTGCATGCAGGAAAATGCTATTACCCTAACTGATGCTAAAGAACATTAATAATGCGTCAAAATAATAAAGATTACATTTTTTATTGTACGTTCCTTTTGTGTTTATTGTCTGATATTAACATAAAGAAGGGGAGGCTTTTAAACCGCAGAATGAGAGGATACTGAAAACCTCTACAGCAGCTATACTGTTCTTCCATGTAAGAAAATCCTTGGGATTTGCTTGTTAGTCACGAATTACGAATTTCTTACTTTGTTAGTCACTAATTAGGAGTTTATTACTTGAAGTGTGTTAGACAGTGAGCACGATGCTCCTGCATGTATCGGTAGCTCTGCCCTGAGTGAGTGCATGCAGCAGCTCCATGCCGTGGGTGCACAGCCACCCGCACCAGAGCTGCCCTCTGTGTCCCAGGAGGCTCTGAGCACTCACAGGAATGAGAACTGAGCGTTCAAGAGTTTACAAAGACAAAATGAGGACAGAAATAGGACTAGATCCACGACATTCCCCAGCTGGGGTTGAGAGCCAGTTTATTCTTGCTGGGTGCTGTTCACAAACAGGCTACAGAGCATCTCACATGTCAGTGCATTTCTGAAAAAGATGAAATGGTGAAATGGTGTTGGAATGAATACATCATTGGTCTTTTCCTCAGGAATTTTAAAAATCACTCTGGAAGCACCCTATTCCTAGAAGCTACCAGATACCAACAGGGGAAAACCAAATGCATCTGGGAAGCGGGCCTGTTCCTTATTCTTTATCAATTGCTTCAGTGAATTTCTCAAAATATTAATTTTCCATGTTTACATAATTTTATATTGCATTTCCCTACAACTTACAATGAATACAATCACAGATGAATACTGAACTTCACATGAAACCAGTTGATGAGCAGCTGTAGTCTGTATAATTGCTTAGTGGCTAATGCAGAAATAAAATTTCATAGCATTTTCCCTGAAATTCATCAAAAATTTTTCAAGAGAGGGAAATTTTTCTCTGTAAAATTGTTGTGAAATACATTATGAAAAAAGAGGTCTACAGCTTTGATTCAAAATACCTAAGTATCAAAATGAAAAGATAAGTATTTTCAGATTAATATGTGGACAGGATATGTCTTAAATGGTTACCTTAAAAAGCATGTAAAAACTCCCAATTTGTTTCTCATACCTCTAATAGATTTTAAACATTACAGAATCCTAAATGGTGCTTCAAAACAAAACAAGCAGAGCTTAAACACAGCAGGAAAAACAGAGGATTGTCTTGGCCAACAAGGAAAGCTAAGAATGCTCATTGCATAGTGCTTCTTTGGCACCTTCCTGATGGAATGACAGTTTGTGATATCTTCCTGATAGGATGAGAACTTGTGACAAAGGAACTGCACGTGTGATGGACTTGCTAGGAAAGGTTACTGTGAGCACCCTCTGCCAGAAGAGCCAAGGCAAGCCTCTCCTACAAACTCCGCACAGGTTGGGTTCCGCTCCTTGTCCCTGGGGGCATCACTGCCGGCCTTCCTGGTGGACAGACTGCGCTCCCATTCCAAAGGAATGCTCTTTAGCAACCTCTCTTTCTGGTGTCCAGAAATTATGGCTGAGGGTGTTTCACTTCCAGAGAAAAACCCTAATTTTAGTAGTTTTGCAAGTCTAATTCTCCAGGAGGAATGAAACGTGGAGTGGGTGTTTCTCTCTCTGATTTCACCTTATCGCTATTGTATTTCTAAGAGAAGTGCTACGTAACTTGAAGTGCTCAGTTACACTATGAAACGTATGGAACGTGAGCCGTTTACTCGTACGTTCAGCCTCGAAAAGCAAGGACACAAACACATTCCCAAAGCGCCCGTTCGGCATCCCGGCTGCGAGCGCTCCCGAGGCACGGCCGCCTGCCCGCCGCCAGGGGGCGCCGAGGCGCCGGCAGCCTCCCTCCCGCCCGCTGGCGCTGGCTCGGGCTCGGCCCGCGGCTCCCGCCCGCCGCCTTCCAGGAGTTTCTCTTCCCGTGTCTCTCCCGCCTCCTTCCCACCCAAGCCAATGGCAGGGCGCCGCCCTCACCCTTCCGGAGCCCCCCCGCAGTGGCGTCGGCTAGCGACGATGGACGCCGAGGTGCAGCAGGTGGGCGCCACCGCCGTCCCGGCCCGGCGGAGGGAGCGGCTGGAAGGAGGGAGGGATGGGAGCGGCCGGGGGTGCCGGGCGGGACTGCGGGCGGCCGGGACGGGGCGGTGGGCGCGGTGTGCCCGGGGCCGTCCCGGGGCGAAGCGTTGCCACCGGTGACCCGCGGCCGCTTCCCCGCAGGCGCTGCTCAATTACTACTGCCAGGAGGGGCTGTTCCAGCACGCCCGGGCCGCGGCGGACGAGGCGCTGGCACGGCTGGGCGCGGAGCCCGTGCTGCTCTTCTACCGGGCCTACGGCGCGCTGAGGGCAGGTAAGGGGCCGGGCCGCGCCTCCCGCAACGCTGGGCTTCTCAAAGCATCCCAAAGCTCAGGCCGCTGGGCGGGGAAAAGCGGTGTTGGGTAGTCTGGATGTGTGCCGTGTTGAGTGAATTGCCTGTGTGTTAGCGTATGCCACCGCTCCTCCGCAGTGTGAATGAAAGCGATCTAGACAACATCGTACCAGAGTGAGAAATAAGTATTTTTCTTTTTCATGGTTTCATGACCATGGGTTCCTTGGAGGGTATTTGAGCCCTGCCCAAACTCATATTGATCGGAAACTCACTAGTGTCTCCCAGCTAACAGTTCCCTTCAAAGCAGCTGTGTTAGTTTTGTTGATCCTCTGTCCCTTGGAAACTGACAGCTAATACCTAGTGGGGGGAACTTTGAGTAAATTACTGAGTAAATTATACTGTTCTGAGAAGTTTATTTAGCAACATGTATATTTCAAGGATGTCATAAATATTAACAAGTAACTGAACATGGGGAGGGCTGAGACAAGTCTAGGAAGGTGTGCTGGTTTTGAGGGGGTGTGTCTGTTCCCAAACTCTCAGATGTTTTTATGTAAGAATCCTGTCGTTTTTCAAGATACTGGCTATTTTGCTAGTATTAAAATAGTCACACAAATAAGGTACAAATACTGGTTATATAAAGAAACAAGAGCAAAAAGAGCTGCTCAATGCCCTGTATAAAACAAGAAATATGATTTTCATCTTTCTGACAGTTGGCAGAATTAACACAGAATTAGTTGGCATGATTCAAATTCTTTGCATTGAGATGCTGTTTTCTTTCCTGTGTCTGTTTGAAAGACTTGCACAAACAAGTGAAATTGGGTGTATGCACAACGAACAAAAGCACGGAAGAAAAAAATAGAAGTGAAAATTTAAGTCAGATTGATGTTTGATGATTATATTCTTTGTCTTGAAAAGTGTGATAGCTTATTCTGTGCTTTTTTTTAACTAGGTGATGTCCAAGAAAGTATTCGACAGCTGGAGTCTATTAAAAACAAACCAGAGGTGTCACTTTGTACAATGATGGCTCTGATTTATGCCCATAAAAAGAGCCCTAATCCAGGTATGCCTATTAAGACATTCTGGTTCATGTTTTAGACAGCTCTGTGTGAAGGCCTGAGGGTTGCAGACTAATTCTGCCTAAGTTAAAAAGGTTTACTCTGGCTTTGCATTTGATGTAGGATCTATTACTGAATTGAGTGATGCTTACCAAGATTGTAGACAAAAATAATACCAAACCTCTAAACTCTAAAGCATAAGAGTGATTGTTAAAACACAGCCACACCCACACACATAATCTGATTTATCCACTGTGATGAAGAATCTTTGAAGGAAAAAAAAATTGAATCAAGCTTCTTGTGGTTGTTGTTCACTCATGTCTGATATTTGTGCTTTTGAGTAGAAATGCAGTTTGAAAAGTCTTTAAAGCCATACCATTTCTATCTTTTAAGTTATCCTGACCATACAAATGTAAAAAATAATTATGCAAATTTTTGTATTCCTTTCTCCAGGCTAAAAGCTGGAATTATTTTGTTAGGAATTACGTTCTCAAAATAGGAGTTGGTTTATCAGGTACATTGAGTGGTTGTTAAACTATTGCTGCAGTATCTTTCTCACTATGGAGATTTATAGTTGCTGCTGACAGTTTGTTAAACAATTTAATGTGAAACAGCTCTGACTAAGGCATTACTCTTATTCAAGTCCCTGAGGATTAATATTGCCGGACAGCAAAATTATTGTGGATCTCAAAACTGTGAGAGTGAGAGCCTTTCCCTCATTCATTAGGTGTGTCACCGTTGTCACAGCAGCAGATCAGGTTGGCCGGGCAGCTTCTGCCTTTCCCAGTGCCTGGCTGGGTGTGATCCCCTGGGTGTCCTGATCCCCCGGGTGTCCTGTAGGTGCTGTGTGATGGCACTCAGTAACCTGACCCATGGCCTTCCCTGACACCAGGGTCAGGTTCACAGGCCTGTAGTTTCCCAGATCTTCCTTCCTGCCCTTCTGGAGGACATCAGGCTGGCTAACCACCAGTCATCTGGGACTTCCCCGTTTCTGGGACTCCGCATCAGCCCTGGTGTTGGGAACTCTTCTGCCTTTTCCATCTGCACCTGCTAAATATTACTGATTGGGTGGGTCTGTCTGCATGTTTATCAATGTACAGTACAGAAACAGTGTTTGCTCTGGAAGCCCTTGGCTTGCATGCTCTTCTATAATATTTGAGAGGCTGTCCACAAGAGCTGTGAGCAAAACCTTTTCAGATCGAGACGCGATTGTGGAGCTGGACGCACGGCTGAAGGAGCAGCGCAAGGCAGCGGGACAGCAGGCTCTGTACTATGCTGGCTTGTTCCTGTGGCACCTTGGTCGTGAGGACAAGGCCCGGGAATACGTTGATAGAATGATCAGAGTTTCTGGTGGTGGTAAAGAGGTAACTGGTTCTTACCTTTCTGTAATGTAAATGTGTATTAGAACAATGCATTCTCTGAAGGTAGACTTGTGGCATTAATGCTGTTTGGAGGTTATCCTGAACTATTTTTTGTGTTCTAGTACTTTCCTTCTTAACTGTCGTAAGTTCATTTGACACAGCTGAGTAAATTCCCATGAATTTTTTTGTTAACTAATATTAATTTTCAGTTAGTAAATGACAATGGCTTAATAAATGAAAATAAATCAGTAAATGGAAATAATATGCATTTAAGCCAGTATTGCTACTTGCTACCAAGCCTCATAATTCCTAGCAAAAAAATAAGCATGGTAGTCTCACTAGAGGGAGACATCTGGATCTGAAGGCTCAAAAATACCCAGAGGATTGGGGATATAAATTGTTATCTGTTGTTAAAAGCAAAATTTGCCTAGGGTTTCACTGAAATAAGTGGTATATATAGCATTGTCTTTGGCACTTATATACAGACATTGCAATTCATTAAAATCTTAAATCTCCAAAGAGGTTTCTGAAAACCTACTGTGTTATTTTTTTTAAAGGAGGTGTCAGCTTCAGTTCAAGGAGAGAAACATAAAAAATTTGGCTTATTTTTTGTAGTTAAAGATCTTTGAGACAGAGTTGTCAACATTGAATACATTATTTTACAGTAATATCAAACAAAAATGTTCTGTATGGTTCAGTACATTGTTCAATTTGTAATTTTTAGTTTTATATTTGATCTATTACAAGAGTTAGAAATCTGCAACTATTCTTCTAAATATTAGTTTCTGAAAGTATTAATTAACTAATGGCTTAGCTTTCTGACTAACAGTTATTAATAATTTAAATTGGTAGTTATTTTAAATAAGAACTAATTTATTGGCTGATTTAAATAAGAACTAATTTATTGGCTAATTTATACTAATGTAGAAATAACTTTTATTAATGAAGAAATAATTATGGGTGTCACAAAGCAATAATAATGGTACTTCCTAAAAAGACTAAGATAGGTCATTTTGGTAAAATAGCAGTATTTATGACTTTGCTTATTGAAACAATAGTAGTTTGATTTTGTTTGCTTGTTTTTATTCTTAGTAAGTATTGTTTGGGTATGTTGCTTAGTGTGAAATATTTCCAGCTAAAGTATTTAAACATATTCAAAATAATCAATTTATTTTTTTACAGACAAATGCATAGAAAAGAATAAGTACAGTAGTATTTAAATATATAGAATTTTTTTTAGAAGTTTGCTTATGATTAGCTCTGTTTCTAATTTGGTAGTATGAAATTATGTTTAAATGTTTACATGGGATTTTTTGGGAGGTGGTTCAGAGTCTTTAAACTTGGTGAAATATGATTTGTTTAGTATTCACTTATTTTGATAAGTTAGTTTATGTATTCCTTGTATGGAAGTACAGCACCTGACTTTCTTTAAAAACATGCTGGAGTATATAAAGTTCAGCCAGTCTCCATTGCATAACAAAATCATGACCTTGATTGTTAACAATTACAAAATATGGCTCTTCTACTAACCTTTGACTTTTAAATATACTTCAAAATAGATTTTATTTACTAAAGTTACAATTAATGTTTGGAACACATAAGAGAAATAAATTTCATTCATTATAAGTAGTAAGTTCTGCAGCGAAAAGACACATTTTGGCTTTTAATTGTTTAGGTGTTCTTTCTAAGAATACTTTTGAAGATTTGAAAAATGTCAAGACTTTTGCCTTGCACATAAAAGAATTTCTTTTAAATCAGAAAGTAGAAGAAAAACCTCAAGTTTCTCCTTTTGTGCAGCACTGTTATGTTTCTCAGTGTCTCATATAAACAAAATCTTAAGAAAACATTATGCTGAAGTGTTTGCAGAAAATATTCTGTCTAATGTGGTCATGTTTGTGAGGTTTTGTTCTGGCTGCCGAGCGTGTTAGACTTGTTAGGTGCCATTGGTGTTTTTTTCTAATTCTGTAAGTAAATATACTATTTGGTTAATTTAACTCTGGAATAAATTATCCAAGTGTTAGGTTATGCTAAAGACTGGTTATAATTATGCCTCTGAAGCAATTAAAATAGATACTCTAAGTCCTCTATTTATGTTATTTCTGTTTATTGTATCTAGTGCAATTTTCTATTACCTAGTTAGCAAAGAATTCCAATTTGTATTTTGTTAACAGGGGTTAATTTTGAAGGCATGGCTTGATCTCACCTGTGGGAAAGAAACTCACATTAAAAAAGCTCTGAAATACTTTGATGAAGCACTGCAGGAAGGCAATGATGTTTTTGCACTGCTTGGTAAAGTAAGTTTACTTCACTCTTTTAACTCTTCCTAAACGTGATCTTAGTGTTGTAGATTGGAGAGATGCTGATAAGAGTGGTGCATAATGAGCTGGTCCAAGGAATAGAGATAGAGCTCAGACCCTGTAGGTACTTTCAGGTCCTTTAGACACCAATGTGAAAAGAAAGGTGTAGTTAAATTTAGTCAATCTAAATGTGTACTGTTGTTATGGATTTGCTATGCACATGAGAAAACCCTTCTATTTATAGGTATAAAACGAGTTTCAAGTCACTTGAAAATGTACAAGTGTGTAGTCCCTTCCTTTTTGCACAGGGACACGTGTGCACATTACAGAATTGCTGTGTGCCAAAAGGCAATATTTAAACACTGTAGTGTAATTTTTTGAATATTGTCAACACTCTTTTTAAGTTGTCATTAGTCGATTTTGTGTGTTCATTTGTGTTCATGTAATCGTCAATGATTATATTTCATTAAAGGAGTGGCATGAATTGTTTTCTTTACACATCACAGACATTGTTACTCATTAACATGATGTTTGTTTAGTATTCCAAAGCTAAATGCAGAAAACATTCTTCAATGAGTATTAGAAGACTGAAGTTCAGGAGAGTGTGCACAGTGGTATTTGGTTAGGTGTGTGTGCTTGGCTGCATGGGGACCATTGAATTAAATTAAGAGTGTATATCAAATGTAGTTACTTAGTAATTAGGGTTTAGACAGACATGAATCTCTCTAGGGCTTAAAAATTAACTCTAAAAAATCCGTGTTTGCATAATTTCCGTCTTAAAAAGATGAAATAAAACAGCACACATACAGTCACCTGGAATCTGGTGAGTAAATTCAAAGCATCAAAGTAAAACGGGGCTTAAATCATAAATTTATTTCTACTTTAATTTAAAACTCTGATTTTTTACTTCTGAAAGATTTGTGTTTGGAATACCCTGTAAATTGCATTGCAGTTAGAAAATTGTCAAATCTGGCAACAACAGTAGTTACCTGCTGAGAGTGGGTTTTTGCATGGTACGTGCCTCAGAGCTTGAATAAGTGTTCATCAGTGGGTTGTGTTGAATATCCTAAAATTGTGGGATCCTTCATACAAAGATACTTGGAACCTAATGAAGCAATTTTACTCTTCAGCTACATCTGTCTTTTTCTTGCTTACAACGACTAGTAAGTTGTCAATATTTCAGTTACCTTTGTTACAGAGCACTTAGCACTCACACCAGGCTTTACACATCATCCTTTGCTATTTGATTATTGCAATATGTCTAATTGTGATGGATAGGTAAAACTATTACATGAGGAAAGACTTTTTTCTAGTTCTTTTTCCTGGTTTCTGTATGAAAGAATTTCTGAATCTTCTCACCTGTGTGAGTGTGCAGGCTCTTGATATGGCTTCTCTTCCTCCCTTTAGGTGCAATATTTTGAGGTCCGACAGAATTACTCAGGAGCTCTGGATATTGTGAACCAGATAATTGCAAACTTCCCTAACTTCATTCCTGCTTTCATAAAGAAAATGAAGCTACAGCTTGCCTTGCAGGACTGGGAGCAGACAATTGAAACAGCGCATAGGTTGAGTATGAAGTAGCACATCACTAAGTTCTCTTCTTGCCATGTTTACACCCAAAGGACACTTTGAAACAAAAGTAGATAGGTTTCCATTCATTGTTAATGAATCTGCATTAGTTGCATCAGTTTTTTAAAAATAAATTTCCAGTAATTAAGTTTTATTAGAAACCAGCCTTGCAATTGTGTGAGGATGCTACATCAATATGTGAATCCATTCTGGATGGAAGAGGATCTTTCTTGAGATAGTCATGAAATAAGAGCTGTGCTTTCAGTTGAGATACAGGATCTAAAATCGCTGTAAAATACAAGTTCCTATTCCTGTTTTTGGATAAAATAGATGATTGAGCAAGTGTTTCGTTTGGTTTCTTTACATTCACCTTTTGTTTGGTTTTAGACTGTTGCAGAAAGATCCCCTCAATTTAGAAGCCATAAGAATGGAGGCCCTGCATCATCTGTGCAGGGGAGGAAATATATCTGAGGTGAGTTTTTTTATTAGCAGAATGGTGAGCACAACATAATGCGTGTGGCACCTAGTCCCTGCCAAGGCTGTCCTCTTCATGTATTCTCCTCATACACTTTGGCTGGTCCTGTGCTGCACTAATCTGCAGGAGATAGATTCATTCACCTGTTCTCATCTGAGTGGCTACTCTAGGTTATTGCTGGGGTGTTTTCTGGATGCAAAGGAAAAGATAATTTTTAACCTTCTTCTTTCCAGAGAACAGGTGTCAAGCCAAACAGAAATCTGATGTGGGTACCTGACTGAATCATGTTGATTTGAGTCATCCAGTGATGTTTTTTGTATAAATGCTCTTTTGATAAATTCATAAGTTGTTGTAAGCCTTTCATTATTTTTAAACATTTTATTAATTGACATAAGGTCTTGTAGTGATAGATTTTTGCAGACAGGTCATAGTTTTTATACCAGTGTTTTGTTCACAATTTTTTCACAATTATTTTGGGGTTTTTTCAGCTCTAAGCATTCTATGCTATTTTTCCTTCTATTTCCAAGATCCATTTTCTTGCACAGGGCTATACACATGTATTTTGTATGTACAGCACTTGTGCCATTTTTCAAGAAGTTTAAAATAGCTGATCTAAATTTTCACCAAAAATTCATTCTGTATTTTTTCTCGTCATGCAAAACCTGGTTAAATTTAGGTGGAAAGATAGCAAAAAATAGTGTTTTCATTGTGATGTAGGTATTTTCAAGTTGTAGAAGAAAAGGTATTTATGTTGCTTAACACATTTTAGTTATTGCAAAGAACTCAGTCATTAGACTTCTTACAATCAAATTTAAGTCTTGTGCACAGTCATGGGAAATACAAAGAAGTAGTAAGAATTGCTGACTCCAGTTGAAGGCAGCCAGGAAAGAACCTTGCTGGACATAGTAGAGCGTTAACCAAAGATTTTGGAGTAAAATGTCACATTTTACTATGTCTAGGGATAAATTCCAAGGCCTGTTAGATTTACACATTTCATATTAAAAAACCCTGAGTACCTCATTATTGTATGTCCAGAAAATCCTCTTAGATGTTTTGAAGAACGTAGGTTAAAATTGTGAGCACTTGGAAGTGCTTTGCTTTTGAGCATGTGTGTCTGTATCACACTGAAGCCCAAACAGGATTCACAGATCAGATTCCTCAGACTGTCTTGCTTTGTGAGACTCCTCTGTTATACCTGACTTAGCCCAAGCCTTTCACCTTTTTAGAGCATGGATAAAGGACACATGGTTTGCTTTATTGTCACTTTACTATTCCAAAGTATTTGCATAGGAATTCTCAAGTCTAACTGAGCCTGAAAACCTCAGAATTTACATTTCCAGATATTAGCGCATAGTAAAAATGTGAGCAGTTTATTGTGAAAACTGTTTGATTGTCCTAATTTGTTAATTCTTTCTATTACTTATTATGTTATTCCTTTTTCTGCAAGGCTTCAGCAAGACTGGGAGACCTGATTAAAGCACTGGATAGATTAGAACCACGTAATTCTGAACTATTCTGTAAAATGGCTTTAGCTTTCAGTAGAACAGTGAGTATGCTTTTTTTTTTTTCCTTAAGCAGCATACAGCTGTCCATATATCCTGGTTTTCTTCTATTTTTTTTGTAGGCAGATATTAAATATCTGCTAAAAAGTAGAAAATTGTGGACAATTGAAATAGATTAACTCATGTAGCCTAGGTAACCACATTTTTCAAGTCTTATATTCAGCATGAATTACAATGTTTAAGCCATCTCATTCCAAAAATGGTTTTACTCCTTGCTGTTAAGTGAGAAACAGTGAGAATACACTCAAATGTTTACCAGCCATCTTCTTACTTTACAAAACTGACAAGGTTAATCATGTAACCTTGAAAATGAAGGTTTCTTTAATCTCTGTATTTATCAAAAGTTGCTATAAAGAATCACTCAAAGCAACTATTAGTTATGGTATGGTATTATATATTTATGTTTGAATCCATCCCACATTAATGTCACAGTTTTTATAGTATTACTGCAGGCTAATTGATTCTTACATGAGATGATGTTGTCTCTACTGCTCTGGCTATATTCAGTGTGTTTGTCTAATTGAATCCAAAAACTACGAAAAGCTTAAGGCTATAAGATTGTTCTTACCGTTAGTGTGGCCGGAACCAGCTCATCCTTCAGCACACACAGACCTTAGTACAAAGAGCATTTGATTTGGCATCTGACAATGCAGAATTTGCTACTGAACTTGGCTACCAAATGATCTTACAAGGGAAAGTGAAGGAAGCTCAAAAATGGTACAAGACTGCTATGACACTTGATGAAACAAGTGTTTCTGCACTAACTGGTAAGGTCTTACACTTCTTTTGGTTTTTACTAAACAGTGTTTTTTGGTGAAATTTTCCTTTTACTGGTACTAGGAAAATCTAGAACTATTAGAACAGGAGCACTGGATTGTTTTCTCAGATTCGTTGTGTGCTTTCTTCCTTGTGGCAACAGTGTCTCCTTACTGAATATGTCTTTTGATCTTACTTATTAAAAAATTAATCTTTTCTGTTCTAAATTAGAACTCTCAAAGTAATAGTAGGAACAGACATTTTGCTGTATTTTACTGACTTTATTATTTAATTTCTGTAGTACCAAAGAACTAGAGAACTCTTAGGCATTAGAAAAATAAGAAAATCAATGGCATGATGGAACAAGCTGCCCATGTCCTTGTTTTGTCCAAATTAGCTTGAAAAACATAATCAAATCAAAGCATCGTACTTTACATATGTGTTGCATCCAAAAAACTCCCACTCTATAGTAAGTCTCATATGTATCAAGAAAATGGAGAGTAAATATGTGATACTTGCCTGTCAGATTTTTCCCTGTATTTTTTTCCTCCTTGACCGTGCTATGGCCTTAAACAGTATTAAAACTTTAGATTGCAGGAATGGTTTGTGTGTGTGCTTGAGGTTGTTTTCCTTCTTGTACTTGTTCTGAATTTAGAAGCCAGACTTTATGGTGCTTCTGCTTAGTCTAGAACCAGTTGAAGATTTACCATTTCAAACTGCTATATAGCATATTAATGTGTCAGTCATGTATCACCTACCCTAGGTTTTTCTGAGTATGTAAAATTTGCATTACCATAAGTCTTGATCCATTCTTTCCTTTCCTGTCACTGCTTTATTAAGAGGTTGAGGAGAGGAAAAGTTAGTTCTGGGAAAGGAAGCATGTGCTTGACTAGGAGGATGAATTAAAGTTTTTCCATGTGTTACAGGAATTATCCGTTGCCAGCTAATGCAAGGGCAATTAGAAGATGCAGAGCATCAGTTGGAGTTTCTTAATGAAATTCAGCAGTCCATTGGGAAATCTGGGGTAGGAGGCATCTTTCTTTACTGAGATACTTCGATTACAATCTGAACTGTGGCCTTCTGTTACATCTTCTATATTTCAGTCACTTGAGTAGAGCATTCTTAATGGAGTACTGTTAAGTTTTTCAGTTTTTCTTTCTATTTAAGTCACTGTGTTGTTTAACTTGGCAACCAGGCTGTTTGCTTGCAGAGCAAAAACATCACTTTCTAGCTGTGTTTCTTCTCTGAACATAATTTTGATATGTCAGGGAGGGACAAATATTAATTATTTCCAGGATTTTTTGATCAGACAAATGTAAAGGTTCTTGCACAAATTAAAGGAATGAATTGATAGAATAATCATCGTGTCCTTTACAACATGCTAAATGTCTTAGAGTATCCCTAAATATAAAGAAGAAGTGGCTAACATTAATAATTATGTAGTATTACATGAGTAACAGATGGATGTATCTGGAATATGCAGAATGTTTGAGGGTTTGTGTTTGTTTTTTCTTTTCTGTAGGAATTATCTTTCCTGCATGCAGTCCTAGCTATGAAAAAACATAAGAGACAAGAAGACATTTTTGCTTTATTGAATGATGTTCTGGATACTCACTTTTCATCTTTGCATGGATTTCCTCTTGGTGTGGAGTATTTTGAAAAACTAAACCCTGATTTCTTGCTAGAAATTATTAGAGAATATCTTAATTTTTGTCCAGCACAGGTAAGCACCTGTAGATTGCATCTGTCTAAGAATGGGAATTTTTCATTTTGAGAACAGTTAATCATGAAGAAAAAATACAGAAAATTTTCCCTTTTAAAATGTCAATTTATTTGAAGTAAGAATATGTTTTGGGATATTACACCACTTTTTAGTCCAAGTAATGATAAAAATAGGCATTTTGTGATGTGAGCAAGCGGCAGTAATGACTCCTGAGGAAACTTGGGATGTTTATTTAATGCAGTCTGTGTGTTTAGTTGCACTGTCTTAGTATCTCTTAGGAAACTGTAGTGACACAGTGAATAGAGCTATCACATTATGAAACTAGGATGTTCACACTGACTACCCTGTCCATGAAATATTTTTGTTGGCTTAGGATATTTTTTCAATAGATGTAAATTGTTTCTTTTGTATGTTGGTAAAAATCAGTGGAATACTGCATTTTTATATTATTGTTTATTCCAGTGAAAAATCTCACTTAATGAGGTGGCTTAATTTTCTGTGGCTGAATTTGTGTGCTCTAGTTTTAGCAACAAAGGCATGTAGAACTTAATAAATTGAATGGGGACCTGACATCTTTAAAGCAGAAGAAACACATTGAAAGTTCCTTTAAATAGTGTCTTCCTTAAACAGAGTATTCTTCTGAAATAGCTGGGAGCTGGCTTCTGTTATCCTGTCATTATTTCTAGCCTAATTATAGAACCTTTCCATGAATATGTTTATGTAGAGTTTTAAAATCTTAAGAGGAAAACAAGTAGTTTTCCATTGTTGTGAGCTGCCTCACCATCTATAAGAAAATGACAATATTTGAAAGTCTAAAACATCAGTAGCAGTGACATTTTCATGTCACAGATGGCCTTGATAGGAAGTGACACTCTGTGAGGTTTTGCTCTTATCTGAAGATTTCCCTGGGATATGTTCCAGAAATACTGAACAGCAATGATTGTTTTTAATTTGGAATTAAAACTGCTTTTCTGAATTTTTGTCCATAGAAAGGTTTTCAGAAGAAAAGATAGGCTTTTGCTGAAGTTTCCTTTATCTCTTTATTGCAAAAAAAGGACCCACAGGTGTTTGAAAGTGTGGAGTTAGCTAGGTGGTGGAGGCTTCCATTTTGGGTTTGGGTCCTGTGAAAATACTGTTTGTGAACAGAATGATGCTTAGGTTACCTTTTCCTTTTTTTATGTATAAACCAGCAATTAGCTAAAGTAATAGAGGGAAAGGAATAATATTTCTGATAAAGAGCAATTAAAACATGGCATATTATACTGGCAGTTTGCATGGGAGCAGCTGTTTTTCAGCTTGTATTTTCAGTTTGTTGGTAGCAGTATGGATATGTTCTGTGGTATGGGATGAGGGTAGGCATGACAGGAGCAGAACCTTTTCTTCTCAGCCTTCTCACCATTTATTCCAACTTCAGCTTTGTTGAAATTTAATTCATAGTAATGCTGTGTTGGATGAGTTGGCCTGCTAATTTAGAATGTGTAACCAAATGTTTATGGCCTGACTCTTCTGTGTATGTCAGGTCTGAAGTGTTTCATTGTCCTTGAAGTCTGAGACTGTCTTGTGTTCCTGCTGATATCAAAAAGTTGCCCCATTAAATTTCAAATGTTTTTTATATTTCTTCTCAACAACAGCTGAAGGAAATAGCAAGGCTTTGACTGAAGGAAATAGCAAGGCTTTGCTAATGCTCATTGGAGCTGAAAGTGAAGTTCAGACTTAAAAAGAAATGTAAATCTAAACCCTGTTGACTCAAATGCTGGTTTTTGTTAGCTTGTTGGCGTTCTTTTTTTATTACTTACTTGGTGTTTTTGCTCCTAGCCTGCAAGTCCTGGGCAGTCTCCTTCACCACTTCTCAAGCACTGTGCTTCCGTTCTTGAAACCGTTGTAAAAACGGTGCCTGGTCTTCAACAAGCTGTCTTTTTATTTGCAAAAGTGAAGTACTTGTCAGGTAATAGTTATAGGAATAGGTAGTTAACTACCTCCTTAGTTTATTTAATATAAAAAATTAATTTCACACCTGTAAATAATAATGAATATTTTTCTTTCACTGCAGAATATTATATAACAATTAAGTGAAGAACATTTGCTCTTCATTTCTTTGCCTTTTATATGAGAGTATCTTAATTTTACAGACCTAGAAATAAGTATTTTTTTATCTACCATTTCCCAGAAAGTTAATTTATTGAATGATTTACAGAGGGAGCAGTGAGAAAATACCATACCTTTGACTTGCTTTTGATTTCATGTCATAACCTTAGAATGCTTTGTATATGAGTTAATTCACTGGATGCTGATATTTATTAAAAAAAAAAAAAGGCAAATAAAAATGCTATGTATATAACATATATGTGTGTGTGTATATATATATCTCTGTATTTCATATCAACTGCTTTTTCACTTTCCCTTCCTTTCCCTACTCTCTAGGGGATATTGAAGCAGCCCATAGCAATTTACATTACTGTCTGGAAAGGAACCCTTCTTATGCAGAGGCACATTTACTGATGGCCCAAGTTTATTTGGCCCAAAACAATATCAAGCTATGTTCTCAGTCCTTGGAACTTTGTCTAAGCCATAATTTTGAGGTAAGTTTAACAAAAGAATGAAACAATTTTATTCAGTCAGTCATCTGAAGTTGTATGTTTTTGTATATAATAATTTTCAACTGAACTTTTTATAATTCCTCTGCTGCAAATTTAATATCTAAATGTTTATTTGAATGTGATATCTGAATATGTATCAAATAAATGACCATGAAGACAAAACTAACACCTCACAAGTCGCATTTCATGGGTCTTACACATTACAGTATGGGATTTTTGATTTGTTGACCTCGTGTAGGATTAGCAGAGATTTGGGAACACAGTACACACACACACACCCCACTCATTAGGTCTGAGTTCTGCCCAAGTGTCTTGAGACCACTTAGCTGGAAGCTACAATTTCTTTGCAAGCATGTCCCATCTTAGTTCCTTTCTCCAAGTGATACATGAAAGCTGAAGATTTATATCTAATTAGCTGCCTAACTCAGGTATGTTTTAGGAAGGTGAAGAATGGCATGCAGGACTTAGTGCCAAATAATGATTGTTTATTTCCTCTAATTAATAGCCTGGTGAAGTGTGCATGCAGCAGTGTGGGAGACATTCAGAATACCTTAAAACTCAGTCTAGTTTAAAATAAAGCAGTGATTTATGTTGTTCTGTCCCAAAGTTTCATCCCTTGTAATAGTTTCTATGTAGTTAAAAAACTTACTAAATCACTAGTTTGCATACTCTGACAATTCTTATAATTTTGTAAGTAAATTTCTGAAATTGAATTTGTGTATATTTGGAGGAAAAAAAGAAACTAAAGTCAATATTAAAAAAACAATCTTGCAAGGGGTTTGAATACTTTACATCAAGTAAAATTTGGAAACTCTTTATCTTATTCTTTTTTAAGGTGAGAGAACATCCTATGTATCACTTAATTAAGGCCCAAACCCAAAAGAAGGTGGGAGAAATATCAGAAGCTATTAAAACCTTACAGATGGCAAGGAATTTGCCTGGAATGAGAAAACCTATAGCTTCCACAAAAACAAAAGGAAAAAGTATTGAAATTGATGCAAGTGATCGTGTGTCTGTGTTCCTAGAGTTGGTAGAAGCTCATCGCTTGAATGGAGAACCGGTAAGATGGCAAACCTGCTAAAATACTAAACACACCTGAAAACAATTCCCTCTTCCTATTCCCAATTCTATCAGTTCAGAATAGAAAACCACTTCTTTTACCAAGAGGATTTGCTTAGTAAAACTTCCAGCATGTGAATATCTGATTTGAGAACTTCAGTACCTTAAATTGTACAGAGCAAAGAAAAACGAACTGTTTACAGGTGTTCAATTTTGAGACTCCAAAAACCATTTCATACTGTTGATGTTCATTTGCTGGGCTGTAGATCCCTGTTTTGTTGTCAGAATGCTATTTAGCAGTAGTTTTGGATCATGTCCCTATCTTTGTGTAGCAGCAGCCCTACTATCAGCTGTGTCTGCATAAGCAATAGGACACTACCTATGTATAAGAATGTAAGAGAAGCCATACAGTCCTGTGGTTTGGAGGCCAGCCAGCTCAAAGCAGGACCTGTTGGAGCAATTAAGGTGCTAAAGACATTCTCTAGCTGAAGTTTATGTACTTGTTTATATGCAACACAAATGTAATTTTCTAAAACTAAAGTTTTCTGAAGCTAAAAAGTACTAAAATTTTTTAGAGTAGTCCATATCACAGAAGTTTTATTTAAAAAATCGAAAATATACTATGGCGAAACAAGTGGATACTATGGCTTGTGGGTTTTGTGATTTTTTTTAATTGGTTTGCATAATGCCCATAAATGCTAATAATGTCTTTTATTTTTGGCTGTTCAATGACAGGAACGAAATTAATTCTGTTCTTTTTATTATTTGCAGCATGAAGCTGCTATAGTCATCCAAGATGCCATGAATGAATTTTCTGGAACACCCGAGGAGCTAAGGGTTGTGATTGCAAATGCAGATCTGGCAATTGCTCAAGGAGATGTGAAACATGCCTTGACTATGCTCCGCAATATTACACCTGAACAGCCTTACTTTGTACAAGCTAAAGAAAAAATGGCAGATATTTATCTTCAGTATAGGAAAGATAAGAAGTTGTATGCTGCCTGCTATAGGTAAAAGTTTGTGCTGTGCATAGTTGTCTAGATATTTACTGATAGCATGGTGAACTCATTTTTTCTTCCTACTGCAAGAAGGGAGAAATATTTAGTGGCATGAACTCATTGGAGCAAATGTGGTAACTTTTAAAACGGTAATTAGAAGTCTTACTTTGAAAAGATATTTCAGATTTTTTTTTTTTTATTTTGAGAAATAAAACCTGCAGAGGATAAAATTGTTGTGCCCTTCTCTTGTTTAGTTACCAGTATTGACATGTTATATACTAATCTAGTTTTTGTCTTCTGTTTCCAGTGACCTAGTAGAAAAACTGCCAAGTGCTCATACTTTTCTTCTTCTTGGTGATGCATACATGAATATTCAAGAGGTGAGTGCTTGCTAGAGATGAATGGAATATTTGAGTAGTTTGTTGACTTTGTCTAGTTGAAACATTGTGGCATGCTGACTCTTACTGATTGATGTTTTTCAAACAGAAACTGCTTTAGGATATAAAACAATAAATATTGACTATGAGTAGCTGTTTAAATTTAAAACTGTTGAAAATACATTTCTTAACAAAAGCTTACCTGCTGAAAGTCAAGGAGGAGATGTTTTCTAGAGCAACACTGCCTCTTCTCTCAGAAGTATTGTAGCTTATGAATCAGTACTGGAGTTCCTGGGGTTGTTACCAGATTTTGTTTACTTCATACACCTTTTATTTTAATCTTTGACTTATATGTGTTTATATTTTACTGTTGCAGCCTGATGAAGCCATAGAAGCCTACGAGCAGGCCTTGAAGAAAAATCCAAAAGATCCATCTTTAGCAAGTAAAATTGGAAAAGCCCTAATCAAAACACATAACTACTCAAAGGTATTCTATAATTAATGTATTAGGTTAGTTGAGTACTGTTTCAGCATGTGGGCTTTGCTTGGGTAAAAATATTACATTTCAGAATGCTAAAATAGATATTTTGTCCTGAAAGTAAGTTCTTGAATTCCCTTCAGATCATCTGGCCAAAGGCACAGTTGGTAAATCCACACATTACTGGATTCTAATCTGTTGAATTGTAGTTCGGGTGACTTGCAGTGGGTTTGGGCCTGCCCTGAAACCCATGTCTTATTACTTCTCCATGGGAAAAAAACAACATGCCATTGAATACCTAAGTAACAGGGTTGTTGTCTTCAAATTATACACAAATTTTTCCTTCTTTCTTCAAGGCAATCAGTTACTATGAGGCTGCAGTGAGAAGTGGTCAGCAGAACTTCCTTTGCTATGATTTGGCTAAGCTTTTAATGAAACTGAAGCAGTATGAACAGGCAGAAGAAATACTTCAGCAAGCTTTAGACCATGACCCTGGTAGGACTGTTATTAATTCACAGGAAAACATACAATTTCTTCAGCTGTTATTTGTGTTTTCTGCATGACTCTAAGGAATGAGTTCATAGGCACTTTTTTTCCAGAGGTTTAATTACATTTATTAACCTTTGTGGCTGTCTGAATAGAGAAGCAGTATTATTAGTAGTCCATTCTAGAAGGTTTTCTTATGTCACTATGTCACTTTCATGCTTTGCAGGGGTGTGTTGGTTTTCCATCTTACCTACTTCTTACTGAAAAAGTCTTTTGATTTAACGTTTTATTACTTCTTACTGAAAAAGTCCTCTGATTTAACATTGTATTCCTGTCCTAGTTAAGCCATTGAGGACCTGGCTAATTTAATAGTCATGCTCAAGACAGCTTGATTTTCCTAGTGTGGAAAAATAATTAGCACTACAGTTTGACCCATGTACTTTAAAATCTTATCTTCTGTCTTAAAATGAAGCAATTTTTTTTAAATGTCTTTTTTAGTGTTTTGATAAATACACGTTCTTTGAGAGAAAAATATTTAGGAAAACTGTTTTGGCTGATTTGGAAAATTATTGAATGATGTAATAATTTTTTATGGAAATGCTAGAATATTCTTTGTGGGAAAAAATGAATGATAGGAAATACACTGAAGGGAATGATCTTACATGGTCTAAGTTACACATTCTAATCTCTGATGTAAAATAGGATGTCACAGTTACAGCCCTTGAACACCAATTTTCTGATAGAATATAGCTCTAGAAAATCCTTAATTTTAATAAAGATAAAACAAAATTTTTGATGGTGTCTGTATTTTAATGTGGAACTGTGCTCAAGATATTGCTTTGGCAGTATAGTAAAATAAATTTAAGCCATGGAAGGCTTGAATTCTTCAAATACTAATTGATGCATATTTATTTTAACCATTATTCAGAAGCAGCCTGCTGCTTTTAAGTAGATACTGTAATATTTATTTTACTGAATTCATATCTATTCCAGACTCTAGCAAAAGATGCATAGTTTGAGGTCTGGCTAGAAATTTCATTGAAGAGTCTCATCCTTTTTGCATCTAGAGTAGCACATTATATCAATTTGGACTTTTTTTGTTTACTTTTGGGAGGATTTAGACAAGAAATGTCAGGAATGGCTTTATTTTCTGTCTACTTACATCAAAATATTTTCTGTCCTGTCTCTGAAAATGCTAATAGACCAGACAGTCAATTTTTTTTTTATTATTATTCTGTTTGCATCTTTCAGTATCTTTGGCCTTAAATCTCACTTTGTTTGTAGTCTGTAAAGTTTACCCTGCATACTTATCAACATACTCTGCCCACCAGCAATGCACCAAGTCAGATCACAACTCTAAGTAAGTAAGATGGAGCCGTGAATTTTTCATGTAAGCTCTTTACTGGAGGATGTGATGAGTTTCTATTTCCTTTGACTTTACTGGGATCAGCTCCTTCAAGAATAATGTTTGTTTAATGTCATTCTTACAGTTAATGAATTGTCTTCTTTGATGGAAGATGTACGTTACCAAGTACTTCTGGCAAAAATTTACAGCAAAATGGAGAGGATTGACAGAGCTATAGTTTCATTACAGCAGGTAATGAGGAAAATCAAAACTACCTGTGAAACTTGCAATATCCTCATGTTTACCTCTGGTTTCACCTTTGTGCCATGTTTGAACCATAATATCCATGTGAATGTGGAAAATTAATGTATGCTGGGGATAAAGCACCAGTGACTGCTGTGAAATGTAAAGTACAAAAAGTGTTACACAGTCTGAGCTTTTTTGCAAGCAGTGTTATCTGAATTTTAGATCAGAATGCAGTTTTTTACTGCAAGCCTTACTTTGCCTTCATTTGTGTGTGGAGCATAGTTTTAGCATATTAGGTGAAAATGAAATTGGCCATGAGGGCAGCTAGATTACATATCTTTAGCTCAGCGTTGAAAATCATTCACAGAGTGAAATGGAGCAGCTTTCAATGGCTACCTGTTGTTTTGTTGTACTGCTGAACAGCAGTATTAGTATTAAATAGCAGTAATAAGATCTGTTCATTCTGCAGTTCAATATTATCCCTCAGACTGAGGCTTGAAAGAATAAAGTTGGATGCTAGAGCATGAATCCCTTAGAAAATGCTTTCTCAACAAAAAGGTTTAGCAAGAGATGTGGTCAGTGCTTTCTGTTGTAGTACACCTCCACTCTGTGAAAGTGAAGGTAACAGCAGTGGTAAGCCTTGGTAGCATCTTCTGATCAGCAAGAAAAGTCTGCAGGTTGGTTGGAAAGGTAATTGTATGTGAGGGTTTAAATACCAATATTGGTTAGATTTCTTTGTGAAGTTCTTACTTATTTTTTACTTATAAGGTACTTCTTTCTTTCTCAAAGTTGACTTTTTCCCCCCAGTTCTCTTTCAGTAAAATTCTGCCTAAGCAGTCTCCTTTTCTTACTCTTTTCTTTATTTCTTTAGTTCTTCCAGGTTTCTCACTATGTCACATTTCAAAAAGCTTTCTGTCCTATTGGGGTTCTTTTGTTATTTTTTCTTCTGCCCTCAAACCTGTCCTTCCTTGTACCCATTCATTCTCTTTGGAATATTTTCCTGTTCCTTTTCCTTTTGATGCCACGTTCATTTACACAAAAACACCTGCATTTTGATTTCAGCAGGACTAACTTAAATGTCTTAAACAGGTCTCTTCCCTTGGTTTTCAGAGAGGTGCTGGAAGTTCTCCCCAGATGTTATTTTGTGCTTTAGTTCTAATTTCCTGCTAGGCAAAATGGTAGGGCTGTAAGAACCAGAATAGTATTAGTGCTTCCTTCTCTTAAAAAAAAGACAAGCTAACTGTTTTATAGTAGATAAATGAAATTAATTCCTTTGACAATTCTTGACTGCTCGCTGCTTTCCCCACCCCAGGCTCGGGAGTTACAAGGCAGAGTGCTGAAGCGGGCTCAAGTAGAGCAGCTGGATGCAGTTCCTGCTCAGAAACAGTTAGCAGCTGAGATTTCTGCTGAGATTGCAAAACATTCAACAGCCCAGCGAAACTATGAAAAAGCAATTAGATTTTACAAAGAAGCCCTTGTTCACTGTGAAACCAATAACAAGGTCAGTTCTCCCCCTGGCTATTTTGCATTGTTTTTCTATTCAGTTTTTAGTTATAGCAAAACATTTTTCCAGTTATCCACAGAATAGAATAATTTGCAATTATTTCTGTTTCATGATATACATAGAACCTTGAACTTTCTCCCCTTCACTGCTTATCATGATAGAATAGTTGCATGCCCTGCTAGCTTCTGTCTGTTACAAGAACTCCTGGCTCAAGTGGTGTCTGCATGCACTCACAGTGAGCCTGTGTTCAGGTACCAGTAATGATGGAGATTGAAACAACCTTGCTTGGTGCTTGTCCTCTGAAATGAGCTCCCAGTGATTTTGGTCAATACAGACAATTTCTGTCTTTTCTGTGTCTACTTTTATCTGGGCTTGGTAGAATTCTGATTTTAGTCACAAAATGTTGCTGATCTTGAGCAGGGTTATTGTACTGCTTCTCTCTTCTCTGCACAGTCTCTTTCCCACAGGTTGATAAATACAGGTAAATTCAGATTTATTTTTATCCTTCTCTTTCTTCTTATAATTTTGTAACCCTGAGCTTTGGAGTTAAGAGAGGGAGAAGCAAAAGTCTTAAGAAATTTATCATTATAATGAGCACAAAGATTAAGTGTTATCTTTAGTGAGATTTTTTTCTAGATTAAAAATCAATAAATACAATTTTTGTTCATTTGCCATGATATGCTATCATAATGATGTTATATCCTTAGGCATATGTGAACACTTCTTATTTTGATGCTTGTTACTGAACAGCTGTCACGTGCACAAGCTGCTAAATACATCACTTAGTTTAACATTTGAACTCATGTGTTGTGGTTCCAAGAATCCATGTTCTTCCTAAAGCAATAACTTCGGTGTATTTGAGACATTTTCTAAGAATATGTGGAGAAGAAGAATAAATTGGGAAGGGAATAAAAACATCCTTACAATGGTGATTTCCCCATTAAGAGCAAGGAGACTCCCTGTCATGGTACAGGTACAGCTGTGGCTTTTTTGTCAGTATCAAAGCCTTACTTTGTCTTTCATACCAGTACTGAAATACCAGCATAGGATTTCCCTTCAGTTCTTGCTAAAATCATACTTCTAAGAGATTCACATTGTTACAAGATGTAGGCATTTGTGCTAAATATCTGTTAGATATTACTGAAGATTTTTGCTTTAATCCTGCTTTGCTAGCAGCACAGAATACAGTGACATCTTAGAAAATAAGTCTGAGTTTGTCACTAATAACTCCCTGCCTACTTGTTGAGTAACAAAAGCAAAATATTTTGTTACCCACAACTAGTATAAAGGAGTTATTTCAATGTATTTTTATAGTTTCAGAGGATTTGAACTTGTTTTCTTTTCTTCATTTTTAAAAGCATTTCAAGATTAGAATTGAATTCTTTTAGATTACAAAATATTATTTTGTTAAAAGTCCATCTCTCTCTTGGCACCTTCAGAGTTTACTTTCCTTAAAATTATATATTGAAATATTGGAAATCCCTTTGAAACTATCTGTACCTTGTTTTTTTAGAACAAAATCTCCTGTATTTTAGCCAAATGGATTGAAATACTGCATTTATTCAGGTAAATGTGAACAGATTGCAGTCCATGTCACAGGGGAGTTATGTGGTTTTGTTTTACACAGTGAAATCTGGCAGGTAGTACCCTCCCTTTGTTTCCTTGCTCAGGTAAGAGGCAATGCAGTTTCCTGAAGGAGACTTGAAGGGTATTGCAGATTGCATCATGCACATAATTTCATAATATTGTTTGTAGTGGAGTTGAAGATTTAGAGACCACTTCCAGTCACTAGATTCTAGTGTGGAACTCCAGTTTATTTTCTGTTTCCTGCAGGAAGTATTCCTTGACTCCAAGACTGCCTTTTGGTATTCCACTGAGTTGTGCACATAAGAGCAGCAGCTTAAAGAAAGCTTTCATAGTTAAAGTTCTGACATGCATGCATTCCCTGTAGCATTTCGGTGCTTACCCACCTGCCTTCCTGTTTCGGAATTACATGGTATATGTTTGAGTATGAACAGAACAGGAGGTAGGAAGAAAGCAGTTTAAAAACTGTGCTAGAAGCCTGCATGTTCTGAACAGGATGTTCAAAACACTGTTCTGATTCAGAAGTGCCTTTCCCAAGTGTAACTAGTGAAGGAATTATGATGCAATTATAAGTGTCTCCCTTTTGGAAACAAAATCAAAACAGCATTTAAATTTAAGTAGGAGTTGACTTACAGTTTATCTACTGCTAATTTTGCTTTGTGAACAGTTTACCTTCTATTTGCTTCAATAGAAACTTTCATAGTGTTTATAAAGTGTTCTGTGGCATTCAGGATAGTCAATGATGGGACTATTCTGAATAAAATGCCACAGAACACTTTATAAACACTATGAAAGTTTTTTGTGGTAACTTGTGTTTATAAAGTTTTCTGTGGCATTTTATTCAGAATAGTCTATGATGGGACTTCAGCTTTAAGAATGTATGCTCGTGTACATTTTAGTTTGTCAATATTTACTCTGTGGTGGCTTCTCAGAAGTGGATTCACACAGAGTCTTGATGTCATAGGTTGGAAATGCAAATAAGAAAATAGTCTCTTCTGAAACTTACTTGTACTCCAGAATTAGCTGGTGAATGTTCATGAGGTATTTGGTTTTTTTCAATATGTTTAAAACTACTTTCACTTACATTTTTCCAAGAAGATTATTCATACCAAAATACTGGTGTTTTCAGAGCAACACTATCTGAGCAGCCCTGATTTCAGTGTTCCTTTAGAATATTCCTCAGAAGAAAAGTTTTGTTTCTTTTAAAAGGTGAGGGAATGAAAATGGATTACATTAATTGACCAGGAGCCCACAGGAAACGACAGAAAAGGCTCTCTCTTTAGTGGAGATACAGTTTTTCCCTGGACCCCTGTAATATCAGGTTGATACTCAGAACTGAACCAGCTTTTTTCATCTTTGAATTACATGCAGTTAAATATTTTAATATACAGGCAATGTTGGAACTCGCACGTTTATATCTTGCACAAGATGATACTGATGCCTGTCAACATCAGTGTTCCTTACTGCTGAAGAATGACCAAGATAATGAAGCAGCAACGATGGTATGTGCTGTTACAGTAATGCTGCAGCAATGCTTTTTGATGTTTGTGTGCCTGCAATATGATATATCCATAAAGCACCACTTTTAAAAGAGCCTCCAGCTTTATGATTTAAAAAAAAAGTGAAAAATCCATGGCAACAAAATGTTTTTCTGGTTATGCCAGCTTCATGTTTCAACAGGAAGTTTCTAACAGTCATAGCCATTGTTCTACTTCAATATAAAATGAGTCTTTGGAAGTAAAGGAAAAAGTGTTGTAGTAAGATTGGATAAAGTATGGCTCAATGCATGTTCTATTGATAATTGGCTAATACTCAAGGAAGAAGCTACTTTTCCGGCACAGTAATATTGAAAACATTTTTTTTTAAAGTGCTGGAATAAGAGAACTATTTATTTAAGGTAATTTTATAGTTTCATTCAACCTTAGTTACTCATATTTCTACTTAACAAGTTTTAATCATAGCTGCGGGTTCTTGTCTAGGACATGTATATTTCTTGGCCTAAAAGTCAGCTCAATAGACTAAGCAACTTTTGATGTTACACACTAGGAGCAATGTTATTTTAAGATGGGAATAATTTTTTTTCTTATAGCAATCTAACATCTGAAACTTGTTCTAGTATGGTGCATGAACAAAGTAATAGCACTCTTGAAATATGTTATTAAACCTACTCTATATTAGCTGTCAGTGGAGAGAAACTGACATTAAAGAACTCATTTTACCTTCCCTGCTGAAGTGAGCTATCATCTTTCTTTTTCTCTAACTGTAATCTAACTTTGCTTTCCATGTGCATAATCTACAGTTACTACAAATAAAATTAGGAGTAAAACTATAAAATGGTAAAAAAACATATTTTAAAGATACGGCAGACTACTTAATTAACTTTTAATTTTCACCTTATGTGAAAAGGTGTTCATGTACTTGTTCATTATTACCCATGTGTGTTATATATTGTGTTTGTTTTCCAGAAAGTAAAAAAAGTCCAAGTGATTTTGCTTCTTGTGCAGCTCCTGCAGCACTTTAAAGCTATAGTTTTAGCTCTCCACATAATCACAGTTCATTAGTGTTTCCTCCCAAATTTACCCTAAACCAAGACAATTATTTGTAACTTTTGTTTAATGGTTTCACAGTTTATAATATCTTGTTTTGTTTTCTCTAAAATTGTTCAATGCTGTAGATGATGGCAGATCTCATGTTCAGGAAGCAAGATTATGAACAAGCTGTTTTTCATTTCCAGCAGCTCCTGGAACGCAAGCCAGGTGAATGTTTAGCAGTGATACTTTTAATTTGTTTTGATATATAGTTCTAATGAAAGAGATTAATAAATAGCTGAATAAAAACTCTTTGATTAAAAAGAAATGTTTTATTTATAATGGATACTAAAGCCAAAGACCATTATCATATATAAAAACATAAAGGTGGTTTAAGGGAATATGATAAAAAATATTTCTTGTAGATACAGTAATTTACTTTGCTGCAATGTAATGTGCATAGTTTACCTTAAGCCAAATACAAATAGGATGTTATTTACTTCTTCACTGTAAAGCACTTTCTTTTGTATTAAAAGTGTCAAGTGCATGAGCACAAAGGTAATATTTTATTTGAAGACTAATAAAGGAAACTTGTCTTGGACAGCAGTAAGTTTTTTTTTAAGCAATTTTCAGGTCAGGACCAGAGACAAAGCTACTGAAATCTGTTAAAATTTTACTCTAATGAATGTAAAGCTTTCTAGTGGACTTTGAAAGAAGTCACAAGAGTGCAGCAAATGGTTTTGAGTGCTTTTGAAAGTGAGGGACAGTTATACTTCTATAAAAACCTGTATAAAGATATTGCAAGTATCATTTGACATCTTCATTCTTGTATCTAAGGTTACTGTGTAAATGTGCCTTATGTATTAAATTTTTATATGTGAAAAAATTAAGGCAGGCTCATTATTTCTTATCTTATTCATATAGCAAATAAATAGAATTACAATCTGCTAATTATTTGTATATTTAGATAACTATGTCACCCTCTCTCGCTTAATTGATCTGTTAAGAAGAGCCGGGAAATTAGAAGAAGTCCCAAGATTTCTTTTAATGGCGGAAAAACATTCTTCCCGAACAAAGCTTGAACCAGGATTTCACTACTGCAAAGGACTGTATCTTTGGTACTTGCAATTATTATTAAGATAAGATTTATTTGATTATGAAGTATAGGTTAAAATTAATTTTCTTGTCATTCATTGTCATTTAAAGGTGCTATGTTGATTTAATTAGATGTCAGGATTTAAGGGAATTCTCAGTTTCTCTGAATATCTCAGTATGTTCTTCCAGGTTCAATAATGTAATTCTGTTTATCTTCATAATTTATAAGAATTTATCTTCACATTTTATAACTTGTCAGACTATTTTTAGTTTGCGAAAACAAGATCCTTGCAATAGTATGCGTGCTCTCCAAACCTTGCAATATCAGTGTGTGCAAATGGGTCATCTGTTTTTAAATACTTGGGTTTATTGGGATTTGGGTGGAATTTGGAGCAGACAATTTTACTTGCCCAGCTTTAAATATTTTAATTATCCGTGTAGGTACACAGGTGAACCGAATGATGCACTGCGGCATTTTAATAAAGCTCGAAAGGACAGTGAGTGGGGACAGAATGCAATCTACAACATGATTGAAATTTGTTTGAACCCAGATAATGAGACTGTGGGTGGAGAAGTCTTTGAAAATCTCGATACTGACATAGGGTAGGTGAATTAAATAAATATTGCTTGGGCTATTCTGTCATCTCCTTCTTCTGCTGCCCCTTCACAATATGTGTTAATTTAAATTGCTAGAACTTTAAGATCATCTCATGCTTTGAGTATTTTCTGTTATTGTGAGAGACCATTCTATACTGTAATATGTGAGTGTCAAGCAGAAAATGTAGAAGATTTTCTCTGGAATGGTGGTCGTTTGCAGTGTTAATATCAGCTTGTTAGATTGGAATTGCTGCTGTTGAAGAGGATCAATGTAGAATGCCTGTATACCAGAGCCATTTTTCTACAAAAATGGCATGTCTTTAGCACAGAAGCATTTCTAACTTGTTGATTAGTTTGGTGTGTATTAAAAAAATAAGCTTCTATGAACATTTTTTTTCTGATAATAGTAATTCAACAGAGAAGCAGGAGTCTGTACAGTTGGCTGTAAGAACAGCAGGAAACCTGCTGAAGGAGCTCAAGCCTCAAACCATTCACGGTCACATTCAGCTGCGAGTCATGGAGAATCATTGTCTCATGGCAACCAAACAAAAATCAAGTGCTGAACAAGCACTGAACAGTTTCGCAGAAATAGTTGAGGCTGAGGTTAGTAACCTGTCTCATTTCCTCACTCTTCCCTTTCATACTTGCTACGGTTTTTTTAAACCAATCTAGCAATTGACATTCAGCCGCAGTGGCACGTGTTAGTGCTATTTGCTCTAAGGATTATTCTCCTATCAAAAATTTTATATAAGATTTGAAAAAGGTGTTTCTTTTTTTTTTTTTCGATGCACTATGACAAATGTATTTACAGCACAACCTTAGAAAGAGATGTAAAGGCAGAATACCAGCAGTGAGTCAGGAGCACAGAGAAGGAGAAGGCAGCATTTCAGTTAGCTCCTGATACAACTACTCTCTGCATGTAGGAGTTGCAGTTGCAAGATGTGACCCCCATTCTCATCCTTTACTACTGAAGTAAAAAATTGCATTTGTGCCAGGAGTTCTTACTGCTTGCTTTTGAGGCTCTTGCCTAGAATGGTGGCTTTTAAGAATCCTATTTGTTTATATAAAGCTGGGATGTACACAGTTTAGACATTAAATTTTTAGGAGCTGTACACCCAATAAGAGAAATCAGAGTCCCTTTTCACAGGCACCTCTGCAAGTAAAAAATACCACTTTTATTTTAACTTCCAGTTGACTCCAGATTTTATCTGGAGTGTTTATTTGTATATAAAAGGTATAGCTCTTAGTGGTATCTGATTTTTTTTCTTGTAAGATGAAATATCTGGATTTTTTTAGCATTTCTTGTGCCCGCTGGTTATCATGATTACAGAAATAATTGTAGCACTAGGTGCAAAACATGTCTGTAAGATTAGGCACTCTATCTTTATTTCCTGAGATTTAGCTTTTAGTTTAGTTTTTAGATACCTGAAGAAAGTGTTACTTAAAAAAAAATTAAAATCAAAATTAAAAAAAGCATCAAGCAGTCACTGTATTTTTACTGCAGAGGGATCATATACCAGCACTTTTTGGAATGGCCACAGCCTACATGATCTTGAAACAGACTCCAAGAGCCAGAAATCATTTAAAACGGATTGCAAAAATGAGCTGGAATCCCGTTGATGCAGAGGAGCTTGAAAAGAGTTGGCTTCTGCTTGCAGATATATACATTCAATCTGCCAAATATGATATGGCAGGTGAGCTTCTAAAACGGTGCCTTCGTCATAACAGGGTAAGTCAGTGCACATTGAAAGTAACCTTAGAACCTTTCTATTCTAATTCATCAAAATGTTTGCTTTTCCTCTGAAACAGAATTTTGAAATACATTTATTTGTTCATTTGCCTGGTATTTCACTTATTAAGGAGAAGTGGACCAAAACAAGACAGGAAACCAGCAACTTCACACTGGAGGGCAGTAGACAAACCTGTGACTGCTGCTTAGTCATTTTTGTTCATGTTCTGTAGCAACTTCCACAGGTTTCAAAAAGCCTGGATTGTTTATGAAATGTCAGAAATGCATTCTATGGTCTCACAAAACTGATGAAGAAAGATGTGACTGTAAATTTTGGAGACTTGCTCCATTTACTGACATACTATATTCATACCTTATGTTTCTAAACATTTGTGTTCATAAGCCTGCTACAGTGCAGGATTATTTTTTTAATGCTGGTATTAATCTTTTTCCGTGGCAATACTGTCTGGTAGATTATCAGGGGACAAGGTCTAATGTGTGTTTTACCTCAGGGTTCCTGAGCAGGCAAACTGCACAATACCCTGCTTTGACTGTGGGAATAAGCACAGATCTTAGCTTCTGCTTATTTTTCATTTTGATCAGCAAAAAGGTGATCAGGTTTTTCTATCTTGACTTCCCTTCATGTGAGACAGTCCAGTAGACTGGTGTTCCATACACACTGTGCTGCAGGTTCAGAGTATTCTTTATAGAGCACAGATTTGGTTTGGAAAAGGACATAATGCTTATTGTACTTTTTTTATTAATTCAGTAGTATAGAAGGTAAGGTTCATTATTCGATCACATTTTAGCAGCTTCTGAGAGGTGTTTTTTGAACACGTGATTTCTGAACATAAAATTGAGAGACAGCTACCACAGTTCTTGGTATAGTGCTATTATGTACTTCTGCAGAGAGGCCTCTTTTAAATAGGGTGTGTTCCATTTCAAAATCCCTACAGTTGAAGGATGAACACGAGTCATCTCCCAAAACAAGACTTATCTTGAAATAGATGGTCTGTTGAGGAGGTGTATCCCACGAATGCTGCTTTGTTGTAGAAATTACCAAGTGTAAAACATAGCCTACCAAGTAATTTATTTTCTTCTAAAATGTTTGAGGCTCATGAGTGACTTAGATAAACAGGCTGTGCTTTTAGTAACGAGGATGGCAGATTAGAAGTGTGTATATCTGGCTCCCTGCAAAGCAGCACAGGAAAGAGAGGGACTTCTCTCCAAGTTGCATGCAAAGCTGGTAAGCAGGAATTGTGCTATACAAAGAGATGTTGAGTGGTTTACATCTTAACATATCTTGTCAATCAACAGGACAATATTTTATGTGGTAGTCTCCAATTTGGAAGACTTGTTTGGATTGAGAAAACATGTTACTTCTTTAGTTTTTCTGTTGGTTTAACAGAATTAAATGACATATATATACAATTTAAGTAAATATGTTGAGTGAAAATTTCATAAAAGCCTAGTGTAATTTAATAAGGAGTTTTTTGTTTTTGAAAGACTTAGGATTGGTTAGTAAGATGCCAGTGAGCAGTCTGTTTCTATGAAATTGAGGCTTCTTACTGGTTGCACCTCTTGATTTTGAACTTTTTGGTTTGTTTATTATAAATGAGAAGGGAAGTATATTTTTATTATCTTTCAAGCATTCCCATGCTGATCCCACTATGCTGTGATATGAAAGTTTTTAATCAGTAAATTTTGAAGGCCTAACTGAAAGTAGTAAATTTCAAGATGGAAAGTAATTTATATATCAATATTGTTTTGCATTGTCTTTGTAAAAAAGTTGCCTATGTTTTTCTTTTGAAAATGTTTTACCTATTGGCAGCATGATAATATAAACTGTTCATGGTAAGGGCATGCAGTAGTTAGGTTTTTTATAAATTGTTTTCCTGCTTTATGAGCTAAATGTAAGATTCTGCATGAATTACTATATCTTTTATATTAAGTTTTTTTATGGAGTTAGATGGATTTATATGTGTGTATAATATAAGCAAAGCTAGTATTTTCAACTAATGCCTAATAGTTTTTGGAACCTGCTTTTCAGATGCTTGTGACTTACTCCTTGGATTTATAAAAAATTAAATACTTAATGGTTGATCTTTTCTTTTTTGGTTACTTTTGACTCTCTTTAAGCTTTAATTGGAAAATGATAATGTTAAACCATTTCCAAAACAAAGCTATGAGCATACTTTCTTAAGAAAAAAATCCAAACAATGTTTGTGGAAGGTACAACACTAGACTTGAAATGCAGCTGTGTGGGGTTGTTATTAACTCAGAGAGATCGCTGTTTTTGTAGAGTCATTGCAGTGGTCTCTGAAGAACGCTGCAGTGGCTCTCTCAAGAACTCTGTACTTGATCTGGAGTAGACCGTTATTCTGTATAACTCATTTATAACACAGATACTTTAAATCAAGACTACTGTGTCATCAGAGTTAGAACAAATATCACTTTTATTTTCCACTTGTATGGATTTGGAGTGTTTTAGCAATTAATTTTTCAGTATTATTATATACAAGCTTACTTAAATAAAATTTTGAATGAATATTTATATTTTGCAGTCATGCTGCAAGGCTTATGAATACATGGGATACATAATGGAAAAGGAACAGGCATATAAGGATGCAGCAGTAAATTACGAGATGGCCTGGAAATATGGAAACCAGACGAATCCAACAGTAGGCACGTATATATAAGCTACAAAGTATGATTTTGGGTACTATGGTAGGAATGAAACAACTGCCTTTTACTGGAAAGACTGCCTTTAATTTTCTATAGAAATGAAGTATCGCTGGTTTTCCTCACATAAAACCACAAATGTTTAAAGGTGTACTGAACATGGAAAGAGCCCTCATGGCAAGAGGTAGCAGCTTTATGATACTTCAGAAGTTTCTGCTTACTGTTTTACTACAAGGTTAGATCTGAAACAGGTTCAGTTGACTGTTTGTGAACAGCTTTCTCTGTATTTACAGCTTTAACTTTAATACTGTATTTATAGTAATTACTATATGGTGTTTGTAGTAGAGTCTTTTATAATTATATATACGTATATGATGGTGGCAAGTCACTGATTTCTTTATTTCATTTTTTGTTCAAATTATCTATATGGATCAGGTTTTATGTACATGAGTGAGGATTTAAAAAAAATTATATTGTGTCTTTAAATATATCTGTTTAAAAAAGATGGCAAACTGAAAACTTGAGGCACTAGTCAAGTTTCAATTTCGATAATAAATTGAAATTTGCACTAAATCGTCACATATTAAGACAGTTTCAGTGTAGGAAACCCTTTGTGAAAAGGATACATAGGATTAAATTAAATTTTCTTACTTAACACCAAGAACCTGTCCTTAGGTCCCAAGGCCAGTGGTTTTGGGATGTGTTTATTGCCCCTTGGAAATACATACAACCTCTAGTCTGTGATCTGTGCTCTCTCTTTGTCCCCTGTGGTTTTTTTTTAGCGTTAGGATGAGACAGTCTTTGGCATCAGCTGAAAAACCAGTGTTTTTAAAAAAATACATTAACTGTTATGTGCATGGACTGCCAAATGTTTTGTTACTTTACCTGTAACTGCAGTGGATTGGTTTATGGTTTTATCTCATATGATCTGTAGATTAAAGTAGTGACTAAATGTTTGTGGGTTAGCTCCTGCTTTTATAACATAGTTTTGAAAATACACATACATGAATGTGTATTTTCAAAAATACACAAAACTGAATGTGTTGTGAGTCATCTGTACTGAGTCAAAACATTGGTGGGGTCAAACCAGAGGAAGGCTTATATCAAAACAGAAATAAAAATAACTGATAGAAATCTGACTATAGATTAAATGGAAAAACCTTTATATATCTGAGTTTGGGTGCAGTAATTTTTACTAGATGTTCCTGTTCTTGTAGACTAAGCCATGGTGTTGTTGCTAAAATATTGCAGTTGTTAATCAAATGAAATGTACCAGAAAGTTTCAGTAGTAAAGAGTTGTGATTTCTTAAGTTTGTACAGAACATAGAATCAAGACTGTTCATTTTTTTATTTTGAAACTCCCTAGAGAGTGGTAAGTCAACAAATTACAAAACCTTTTTATATCCAGATAGGAGTGTTCCATAGTGAAAGTAAAATGTGAAATAATCTAGCACAGAAAAGAGAGTATGATATTGAAGGTACTTTGTGCATTTGTTTCTAGTTTTGCATTACAGCATTGTGAGGATTGTCATGTGTTAGAACAAAAATGGTTAAAGCAGCAGATTTCCATCTGGCAAGTAAAGCCATACAGACTGGTATCAGATCCTGCATTTGCCAGTGAAGATAAGTTTAAAAATGAAAGATTTAAAATTTAAAGTTTTGGAAAGTGCATGCTTATAATGTCTTTTTTCTCAGGCCTAGTCTCTGTCCAGGCTGATGTACTTGAGTTTTACCTCTTAGGTTGCAAGTACCAGCCTGGCATGTTGCTATGCAACTTAGCTATTCCATGTGACTTTTTATATCAGTGGTCTGCTGACACTGCTGCTGAATAGCATTTTAATTCCCTGGTTCGTTGTCTTTTTTTTTCTTTTTCCCCTTTTTTCCTTTAATAATGGAATTACCTTTACAGAGGGACAGTGTATTGCAGGCCACAGTGAGAAACTCTGTGGGATACCATGGTAATTGAAAGAACGCAGCCATTGTGTATTCTGTCTAGTAGCACATGCTCCCCAGAATAATGTCTCCTTTTGATTCAGACGTAGCTATCAGTGTGTAAAGGACTTTTATTTACTACTTGATGTGACTTTCAGTAGAAATTTTGATCATTACCAGGCTTATATGAGTCTACAGTAGGAAAAAAAATAACTTCAGAAACACATAGTGATCCAAAATAAATTTAAATGTGATATATTTATTATTCAACACAGAAACTGAAATTGTTGCTTTTCCTCTCCCCCCTCTCCCGTCACCTCTTTAATTACAGGCTACAGGCTGGCTTTCAATTACCTGAAAGGGAAGAGATATGTTGATGCAATTGATGTTTGCCATAAGGTAGAACTTGTATTTGTGTTTAATACTCTGTCTCCTGTAGCAACATTCTTTGCAAGTGACCCTTCTTTTTGATTGAGTTTACATTTCTAAAATGCATAGCTTAATGTTGGAAAAGTGCCCTGTCTAAAAATTTAAATATCCTCTTCATAATTGCTCTGTCTTGAGCTCCATGGAAGCAGATAAATGAAAGTAACTGGCTGTCATACGTGAAGGGATATTCAAATGGCACTGCCTTCTTTTGGCCATGCTGTTGCAACTTGGTGAATCCATACAGAAGTATAGGTGAAAAAATTGATCAAAACAAATATTAATATCAGAAAACACTGTTAGAAAGTAATTGGAGGTATTAACTTTGTATGGTCCAAACATAAGCAGAGTGAATACAGAGTAAGAGGAAGGGCTACTATTAAAGAAGTAGAAGCAATGTTATTAATTAATAATTATTCATATTAATAATAAAACAAATTTGCTCTATTTGGGAGAAATAAAGATAATTAGGACTGGCAAAATGAAGGGAAGGGTAGGAGAGAAGAGGGAATTGAAGGAGAGAAGATGAAGTAGGTAGAATATGCTATGAAAGGCTCAATGGAATGCAAACATAAAGGCAGTTCATCATCGCAGAGAAAGAATGCTTAAAACCTGAGAAATGCATTTCAAGCCACCCAGAGGCTTTAGCCTATGACCCTCATGCCTTCTGCACCAAGCTGAAAGAACAGTGGAAATGAAGTAAAGTGTCTTTGATAAAGGTGGTTTTCACTTGCATGTGTACTGGCCTCTATCCACAATTAAATATTTGTACATTCTTAAAACAAACTTGTTGTTATTTTAGTTTTAAAATGCATCAGCTCAGTGATGAGGGGGATTACCAACTCAGAACTTTTGGATTGTATTGTCTTTTAACAGGTCCTTAAAATGCATCCAAACTATCCGAAGATCAGGAAGGAGATACTGGACAAGGCCCGAGCATCTCTAAGAAACTGAATTTGTTTTTCATGACTCATGGAGTTAACCAGACTTTGGAAACTATGAATGAAATACTGCAGTGACAGAGACCACGTCAGCAAAAAATACTGTGGATATGATGAATTTAACTATATTAGAGATCTGGATTATATTTATGAAAAGTCTGCAACCTTGAAAGAAATTATATTTTTTCTTATTCAGGAAAGAATACCGTTCCCACCTGTGTTTTGTAAAGTGTTATCATAACAAAGTGTTATTGGCATTATAAAAACGTTTTAAAGATATAACTCCATATTTTGTTGTGTTTATTTGAAGCAACACTAAAACAACAACCTGTCTTATCTACTGGAGATGCATTGTTAAGAAAAGGGAATTCGTAATGGTAGTGATTAGGTTTATATATTTTGTAAGCAAGTTTTTGGCTTTTCCTGTTGACATTGTGTAAAGTTACTTTCAGTTTGATTCTTTGGGTTTCTTTTAGGACAACTCAAGGCTAACAAAGGAGCCTGTTTGCTGTTGTATCTAATCTTGCTTATCAATAACTGGGTGCTGTATCTTGGGGAATTTTTAGCCTTGTTTTCCGAATGCATTGAGCTGCATCACTTAGACAATGATGCTGCCTGCTGGTGGTTGCTAGGTCCTGCATAGTGACTTTGGAGCTGTTGGTCAGCTCAACTAAAATGAACAGATGTGTCTCAGGACTGTAACACTTCTGCAAGATTTGTGTGCATATCAGAAGGGAGAAGAGACTTAAGTCACCTCTTCTTCCCTAGCAGTCTTTGAAACTTAGAGTGTGGCTTTGTCCTTTCTGTTTGAGCACTATCAGTCAGTCTGTACATGACTGCCCCCTGCTCCTTTCCTGTACGTTTGCAGCATGACGGAGCTCAGAGGAGGAAGATTTAGTGTACTGAGGAAAAACTGATGGTATGGAGTGGAATGAGGAACATGGAAAGATCTGGAGAATGCTGAGGATGGGGGAACTCTGACAGGTGGGTTGTGGGGGTCAGTATGTTATAAATAGTTTATAACATTGGTGGCGTTTTTTCTCTATAAAAAGAATAAGTACTGAGGCAGCTTCTAGTAAAACAACATTTCCTTGTACACAGCCTTATTCATGCAAGATCAATGTGTTGTTGCTTCCTGGATAGCATAGGAATAACATTTAGCTGAAGTTCAGAGTAAAAACAGGTACAAGATGTTTTCAAAAACGTCCAGACACCTGCATCTGATTTTTCTCATAAGATGGACATTAGCCTTTCATAAGGTGTGACAGATTCAGTCATGACAATGGTAAGGTACAGAAATTAGTTGATAGAAATTAAACTGAGACTTCAAGTTTGGTGACAAGTTTTATGTATACCCCGTGCAGGTAGGATTTCTGAATTCCCATTAGCCATCTACGCACTGGTGTCTTTTTATATCTGAGGTTTTTAAAATAGGAGTACAAATGAGACATGCCTTTGAATTTAAATATTTTTTGAAAAGGGTCTAAGTAGTCTTTCAGAAAAAACCTTGCTTTAATATAATATCTTTTTGGTTTATGTAAGCCAGTTGAAGTTTTCCTGCGCTTTTCTTTAATTTTTTTTTTTTTTTTTTTTTTACTTTATCTGCAGAAGAAATGGTTTGGTGTCATACCTATCTGCTTGTACTGTTTCTTACTTTAAAAATGCATGTTCTGGTAGTTTGGTGGGGTGTTTTAGCTCCTTAATAAGTGGATTTGAATGGAACAGACTTCTGGGATGGAGGGGAGTCAGTAATGCTAATTTCAAAGCCCTGTACTCTTCAGTGTGATGTTGCTTAGCAACCCATCTTCCACTTTTGCCTTTGATGAATAAAAGAGGAGAGTGAAGCTGTGGGTTCTATTGATTCATTCACTGGAACTGAAAATCTAAGCATCTTGTAGCTATAGCAACATAAGCCATAGGTGTCTCTTCCTCTTCTCTCTTGTCCCCCTTTTCATCTGCAGGTACAGAATGCCTAGAATATCTTCTAAAGGAAATAAAATGATTTTTGGTAACCTTGTGCTAAATACCATTTCCTGGTTTAATTTGCAACCATTTTTTAGATTTATAGAATGCTAAAAAGATGGTCTAGGAAGTATCTAGGAAGTATTAGGCAAAATTTATTAGTATAAATAGCTAAAAGTAACTAAACTAGTAAGATCCTTAACAAAAATAGAGTGGAAGGAATTTGAAGGGGTTTTTTTTCCCATTTCTGGACTAGGTTTGACTATTGCAAATTTCTCAAATATGGCTACAGCAATTTTTAGAAAGGCTGTAGACTTCCTAAAATCAGGCAGCTCTGGTTTAGTAACCTAAAATTTAATCTTTTTATTCATTAAATGAGTGAGTAGTTTTATAAACATACTTTAAACAGAGCTTATAATGTTAGACAATTTGCTGAAGATTTTCTTTGAAAGGTGACATTTCAGGAAAGTCTCAGTGGCAGTGGATTCTGGCTCCTCAGAAGGTGATGATAAAGAACTCATTAATGGGTTCCATATACAGTGCTGAACAGGGGGAAAAGAGGAAAATAAGAAAATATTTCACTAGCAAGTACTTCTCCATCAGCTCATGACTATGCCACTTCTCAAAGATGATAACAGTGGTTTTGCTGTCTAGCTTCATTTGCTCTGTGGTTTTTACCTCTTGCTTTGTCTTTCAATGTAATTAGAACTCTTTGGGTTTTGCAACATTGACCTGCCATAAAATGTAAAGAATTGGACCATTACTGCAAAAATCTCATGCTTCTGTCTCTGCTAAAAGTTGTTCCTAATTATGTGACATGGTGCTTGCTAAAAGAGAAGCTGTGTGAATGGTCTGTCTTGTTCTGAGGTGGGGTTTTGTTTGACACTGCTCTTGATGGTTGGGATTGGGTGTTTGGGCTTTTTAAGGAGTCACTATGCCCTTTAGTGCAGGCTTTATTTTGGGAAACAGCAGATTTTTTTAAAGTTCACTCTAGAAATTTGCCTTACTAGAATTTTGTGCTACAAAAGTTGACCACGGGCTGTGCCTGTCTCAGGTGCTGTAGTGCTTGCCACAGTTTAGGCATCAGCTGTCAAAGTCGTAAGGAAGAATTTTATCTAGAAATAACAGAACCTGTGAATTGTGAGAGATTTTAGTCTGAATCTGTATTAAAGTGTTCCTGGGCAATATTAATTCCTAAAAGAACTGGCATCACCATTTTTGGCACTGCTTTGACACAAATCAGTACAACTCCTGCCAACTCCCCTTGTACTTGCTGAGTGTGTTTAGATACCTGCGGTTCTGCAGCTCATAGAAAGAAGTTGTGAAGTGCTGGAGTGAGACGGTGATTGTACTGCTATTATTTGAGTGTACAAAGCAGGGGACTCTACACTCTGTTATGGGAGCGCAAATATTACTTTGGGTTTTTTCTCCCCCACATCAAACCATGCTTCTGTGGAAAAGCGATTCTGTACTTATCTCTCTGGGAAAGTGCATTGTGAAGAGAGAGCGCGCAGTGTGCTATCCCTTCTGGCAGGCTGTGATCTCGCCCTCAGAGGGACTGTGTGTGGTTTCCCAGCCCTGGGAGCGCTTGGTCAGCCCCGCCAGGCACGG